AGCAATATACGATAATTATTTCTGTGAGTAATATAGTTTTCAAGATTAACAACAGATCTACCATTTCGAAACTGATTTAGGGCTTTCCTGGTCTGTTGCTTCATATATTTGCAGTCATCGTCGAACCAATTACTTTTCTTATCAAACTTTCGTATAGTCTGTGGCAATTTACATTTACGTTTCATGCCATCAGCCGCGTTAAATAACAAATCAGACTGATAAGATATTAGCAGCTTCAATAGTATTTCCCATATTTGCTAAAGTGTGAAATCTTTCTACCAAGAGCTTTGCAGTTTCACCTTTCCAAAATGAATGGAATTGATCCTTTTTTGATACATTCCAATTATATCTAGTAAAAATACTGCCCTCGATTGAGGATTCGTTCTCGTTTTGGGTTAGAGTTTTCAGTGTAAATGTTATTGGTAAGTGGTCAGAATCGGGTCTATTAACTATGGAAAAATCACTACACAGTTCAAAATTGTCATAACATGTTAGGACGTAATCAATTACACTGGCACCTGTAAAATGGCCTAGTCCTTTATCTTCAAATAATCGGCCAGTTAGAGTTTTTACATAAATCTAGTAATAAATGGCCAAATGGATTAATTGCACGATCCTGGGAAGACCTTTTCGGTAACTTTGGTTCTGGCATATTTACTTGATCAGCGAAAAAATCCCTGGTGTCATGTTCAGTAAAGTCTGGTTCCGTTGCCGTTCTGGCGTTAAAGTCGCCACTAATGCCACCAGAAGTACGACCATAGCGCATGCGCTCGATACGTGAATTGTGATAGCTTTCATAACCATTAATTTCAAATTTGCTTTCAGGTGTGCTCCATGTTTCAGTAAGAAAAATAATGTCATATTTAGATAAGAATAACAGAAAGTCAGGATTGGTCCATTTAGTTTTCAGACCGTTCACATTCCACACAATACATGACAAAGTAGATGAGTGAATACAATTATTAGTAACATTATTTTGGTACATATACTGGTCTTGGCCATACCTCTATGCGTTCTTAATTTGCTTAATTTCATCAGTTTCGTCGTCATACACATAAATATCATTATCAATTAATAGCTTATCATATTTCATGGACGCTTTCTTGCCGTCTTCTCTTGCCTTCACTAGCAACGATCCTAGTTTCCATCTTGCTTTGCGAACCATAGGCGAAAAATCTTCAGAAATACGATATTCAGATCCGCGTAGTTTGTTTCTAGACACGTGATATACTCGATCCTTATCTTTATATTTGGTAAATTTTACAACGATTGGTGAGGT